TATTATTTTGTAGATAGTTTATCTTTCCTCTGTGGTTACTGGTATGTGATCGGTGCTTTGTGTTCTTAGCCATGCCTTGTATATATTATGTTCCTTGCATTTAAGATCCATGTGCATGATTTTGGGAAATTTTTATGCCATTTTTCTAAGGATATTACTTAGTTTCCTTTTTCTCTAATCACTCTGTCTTTCATTAGTATGGTTTCTCTCTACCTCCCTGTAGCTCCCTGCCTCAATAATGCTTTCTATCCCTCCCTCACCCCACCCTCTACCTCCATCTCTTATATTTGACTGGACTTAAGCTGTGCCCTCTGGTTTTATGTTACGTCTCCATTAATTGAAGTCCATTCTGTTTGTATTTTCTCTCCTGTGTGTCTCATGGTGTCTCATTGAAAGGCTCAAACCTCTCAATGATTTCAGTTCTATTCTCTACAAATATGTGCAGTTCCATGTTTAACTTATATACATTGAATCTTATATTTATAAGATTTATTTATTACATTGTTATATATTATTTCTATTTCAGTTTTAATCTGCATAGTTACTTTTACAGTCATATCTTCCTGATAAGTTTTTAATTCATAATCATTTTAATTCCAAGGTTTATTTCCATTAAAGGTTTGTTTCAGTATGAAATTATGTTTGATTCTGCATTCAATTCCAATTTGATTAAATAAAAATAGTTGAATTCATTAGAGCAATAAAAATTAAAAAGTCAAATTCCAACAATTACAATGTAAAGATCTGCAAATATAGTCTTTGGGCCAAAAATAAATATAGTCATTTTCTGTCAGAGCAAAACAAAGTGACCCACTACAAAAAAGAAAGGTAAAAATAGGAGGATAAGTAGAAAAGGTGCATGAGGTTAATGGAATATTTTTAAAAATATAATTTAAATAATATATCATTCAATTAGAGAATAATTTTATTTTTATTAAAATAATTAAAACTTTAATATGAACAGTCATGAACATTTATTTCCAGAGGAAAAAATTAAAATAAAAAAATAAATCTTAGTGAACTATAAGACAATATAGTAGTAATAGAAATAGTGGGAAATTAACAACTCTCTCATTCTGACAGATCAATTAGGACAAAATTGAAAAATAAATAGAGCAGTGGTTTTGTGTGGTATGGATGGATAAGCAAGCAGGTTCTAGAACCTTCATTTCTGCTTCAAGCATATCAACTTTGCATCTACTGATAAAGAAGGGTTTTTTTGTTTGTTTTGTTTTGTTTTTGTTGTTGTTTTTTGTTTTGTTTTTTCGTTTTTTCAAATAGTCCAGAGAAGATTCAATTTTCTAGAAAGTTAAATTGCTTTAAAATTATGAAAAAACACTAAAATAATGTTTGGAGGACACAATTAAAAATTACTTAAAGGCTAATTTTTAAACTTTTATCTTAAATAAGGGATTCATTTTATTGCCAATGAATAGAGAATGTATTAAAAAACTGATCTTGTATTGGGGTAAAAAGGTAGATTTATCAAGCTCCAAAAATAATAAACTCTGCATCACTCTCTATATCAAAATAAGTATCTGGCTACATCTGATATCAGAGTAAAAGTCAGTTATATATTTTTTACTGTTGATCATGAATAGTAATTATGTTGATCATCCAGCAGAAAAATTAATAATATAATATAAATGTACTGATAGAGAAAGATAAATTAGTAAATTAAAAAAAACTTATAAAACAAAAAAAGTAATAAAAACTCAAAATGTTTATTGTAAAATAGACAACCTGACACAACTAATCTTTAAAAGATTATTATAGCTAACATTTATTGGGAACTCAATATTTTGCATGACTTTTTAACTAATTTACAAAGAGCTTACTATACTCTTTTAAAGAATTTTATGAGAATCATTCAATTATTTCATAAGTTTATTGAATACTATTAACAATATACCCAACACTCTATTATGGTTAGAAAATAGAGGACATACTACTGAAAAAAGGAATTAATTTTACTACCCTAGAAATATTTGCTTTCTGGAAGAATAAATAAATATTCCCATTTACAGATGGGGGAACCAAATTCAGGGAACTTAGGCAAATTATCAAAATTACATAGCATATTTGTGTCCAAATTGGTTTTGGACACGGGTATCCCTGAAGGCACATCCTCCTAACAAATATATAATGGTCTCTCTGTATAAGAAAACCAGAGAACACATAGTAATACCATTAAAATTATGAAGCAGTTTGAAAACATCTGATCATTACAAATATTTTGGTCTCCTTTTTCTGTACCAACCAGTTCAAATTTCCTGATGTATATAAGTATTCTCTGACATAAATATTAATATTCCCACCATATTTTACAATTGAGGATAGTGAAAAATGCAATGTTAAATCCCTTTTGGTTACAAAGCTACCTTTATACCCTGAAAATGTGGTTGTGGAAACTACACTTCACTACTGCTACTTAGTACTCATGATAAGGGAATATTTTTTTAAAACTTTAAAAAATTATATAACTTACTGCTACAATATTTAATTTGTTGAAATAGTTGATTTTCTAGTGAAACAAATAACAAAATTTGATGCAAGCAGAATTTTAAACAGCATAATCAAAGCGAACATGGTAAAGAACTAATCCCACTGATAAAAGCAGGCTAGGTAAGTTTTTGTGAGAATCTTATTGGTATTCCAAGAAAAAAATAGCTTCCCTACTCTTTAAATTGGTACAGAATATAAGAGACATGAATATTTTGGCAGTTTACCAAGCAGTCTATCGCTATGATACCACATCTCTCAAAGCTAACTATACACAAACCAACCACATACAAATAAGTACACACACAGCAAAACTAATAAGGTACAGATAATTTCTACTTTACAGATAGATGTAAGATTCTAAAAATCACATACCAGTTCTTACATATGTTAAGAGAATGATATGCCATACTTATGCACCAGTTATTCTGGAAGGTGGAACTCAGCTTTTCTTGATATTACCACAATATATACCTAAACAAAGAAGCAAGTATTGTCAACTTAAACCTATAAATTTCAATTTTATGTCTTATTCCTAATAAAATAAATAATAAAAGTATTCAATGATAACCAAGGGCTTTTATTATAATTGTGTTAATAATAAATAGCATTACTATTGACTCCTAGAAGAAAAAAATATTTTTCCTAAAATAATATTTTTGAGAAACATCCTATACCTATAATCTATGGCAGAGTGTTACAGGGGATGAAAGTAAGATGCTTTATTATTTAAAAAACAAATAAAAAGATCTCAGTTGGCTACACAAATAAGAACATGGTTAAAGATGAGGCATTTAGGACGAGTCTCAAAGGATTGGTAGGAGTTTAACAGATATGATGGGAAACACAGAGAGATGTGTTTCTGGGTCAGGAGATGTGGAAGGAGGTAGTGAGAAATCAAACTAGAAAATTCTGAAGCATAAAGTATATTAAATATAGATAGTGATAAATAAATCAGTGGAACAGAACTGAGATGCCCAAAACAGACTCAACCATGTGAGACATATGACAGATTAAAGTATGTGGAATTGTATGACAAAAGCACCATTTCACATATTGTAGCAAAGGCATTTTACTTATTTAATGAAACTGAAATAATTACATTCCCTATCTCATACCAAAACATTTAATATAATCCAGTTATATTAAAAATAAAAACATTTAAACATATTTTAAGTGCTACCAAAAAATTTGCACAAAAATTGACATAAATGGGTTTAGAGATCATCTTCTACCTAAGAAAATGTTCAGAAGTCATAAAGGAAACTATAGACATGCGTGTTTCTCCCCCCCCAAAAAAAAAACAGTTTTAAAAAATTATATCACAAATGCTATATAAGCATACAAAGAGGAAGAATATTTCTAAGAAACAAAGTCTTGAAAGGTTGTATTGCACAGAATTCTAAGAAATGAAATAATGCAAACAGGCAAATTAAAATAGAAAAAAAATAGGGAAAATAATATAAATGACCAGTGAAATTATGAAAATATGTTCAACATTCTTAGAGATCAGGGAAATATTAATTAAATAAGCAGCAAAATAGCACATTTTACCCATCAATACTGACAAAAATTAAATTGATTCTGTACAATGTTGGCAAAGATGCAGAGAAAGAGAATCCTATATTACCAACAAGTATAGAAACTGCTACTATATTATTGAAAAACAATCTTGCAGTACTTATTAAAATACAAAATGAGCATGCCCTTTGATCCATCCATTCCTCTTTTTTGAAAGTCTGTCACAGAAAATAAAAGCAATAGTACATGATGTATGTGTGAGATTATTTATAGCAGCATTGTTTTTTAGTTGCAAAAAAAGAATGAAACAAAACTCACTATACTGAATGTCCATCAGGGACAGTTAATTAAATTCTGCTACATCTAAACACTGGAATAATATGTGACTTTTTAAATAAGAATTAGTCAGCTCTATATTTTTGGATGTGGTCTTTCAATAACAAAAACAACAACAACAAAATAACCAAGTAGACAACATTTACATTTTTTGAAAGACAAAACAAAAATAACATCATATGTGTGGATATAGAAGTCCTGGACATAAGATGTGAAATTATATATGAACTGTTATTTGTTACAGACAGTAGAAATTTGCCAATAGAATGGGGACAAAAAGTGTTCTTTATTTAATTCATGATCCTTTTGTTTGACTCATTGCAATAACTGTATATTAATAATTTTGTCATATTAATTGTGTTATTTTAAAATATAAAGTAAAGTATAATGTGGTAAAGTAAGTAAATATTATCTCTGAATTGCTTTACTGAAAATCAAAGAGAAGGAAACTATCCTCTTGTAATCTAACTACTTATCAGACAATCCACATAGAAAGTGAAGTATATCAATGAGCATGTGGTCCTTAATTGTGATTACATTTTATTACACTCAGCCTATTAAGTGCTTAAATTACCAGATAACAGAATCTATGTGCCTAATAGTGGAAAGTGTATTAACTGTGTTTTTGCTCCCTATTATAGCCCCGTTCCAACAATCACATGGATGAAGGTTAATGGTTATATTCCTATTAAGTCACGTCTGCGGAAATCTCAGGCAGTGCTGGAAATACCGAATGTGCAACTGGATGATGCAGGCATATATGAGTGCAGAGCTGAAAACTCTCGTGGAAAAAATTCTTTTCGTGGACAATTACAAATATACAGTAAGTGCTTTCAGCTAAGCGTGCTCTAGTCCCAAGTGTCAAACTGAAAATGCAAATTTAACTAAACACTGTTGGTTAGATACATAAAAACCAAGTAATAATTTATAACTGTACTTGTTTTGCATAATAAAGCATCACGTAAAATTATCTCACATACAGAAATATTTTAAATTAAAAATAAATGAGGGATTACCAGTCTTTTTGTACAACATACATAGTTTACACCCATAAAAAATAACATATTTTCTTGGTACCAACACTATCCTCTGATAAATTAAAAATCTTTAACACATTATATTGTACTTTTTGACTCATTCTAACCCTGGGCCTGAATCAGGGGTCACCATATATTGCCCATTAGCCAAATTCTGCCCAGTTGCTGTATTTAGTAATTACAATTTTATTGGAACACAGTCAAATCCATTTGCTTATATATTCTATGTCCACTTTTTACCTGGCTACTGCAGAATTCAGTAGAGACAGAGACCAGCTGACTTACATGACTGGCATTCAGGCCCTTTGCATAAAGTTGGTTGACCTCTGGCCTGAATTAATAACATTGTATTATAAATAGCCTCAGTGGCCTATTTATATTGTCCAAAGATGCTGAAGAGCCCATCAGGTAATATGTGAGAAGTAGGACAATCTGGATCATTTTTTTTTTTTTACAATCTCATCTTTGTCTCTAAGGATCACAAATCACATCCATTTTCATATTTGCTTTTACAATATTCATAATGGGTGATAGTATTCTCATTTGCCCAAATGGGGACACACAAAAAGAGAGGAATACAATAAGCCAGAGCATTGAAATGAGCAATGTCAAAATCACATATGGCTGATTCCTAGGAGTAACTATGACTGTTACTGTATCTCGAGATCAGTTCTCCAAAATAACTAAGTGTTCTGTACATGGATTCTTTCACTTTATTTATGTTTTTAATCAGTACTGGGCACTGAACGCAGAGGCACTTTACCACATCCCTAGTCCTTTTCTAAATTTTTAAACAAGTTCTTGCTAAGTTGCCAGGCTGGCCCTGAACTTGTGATCTTCTTGCTTCTGTTTCCTGAGTGACTGGGATTACAAGATTGAACTACCAGCCCTGGCTCTATACAACCATTCTTAAGGAGGTTTTTTTCTTTCTTTCTTTTTTTTTTTTTGATTCTTTTTTTTATTATTATTAGTTGTTCAAAACATTACAAAGTTCTTGACATATCATATTTCATACATTTGATTCAAGCAGATTTTATGAAATACTATTGATATCTGAATTCAGCCTCTTTCTTTACCTTTAACCACTCCTTTGGGAATGTAGCCCCTCCAACCAACTCAACTATGCCATAAGAATCTTATCATTCATTCATTCATTCATTCAATTAACGTTTATTATGTGTCTCTTATTGCTCTGCGTGCTAATAGTGGAGCTTTGAAAGAATTCATTGTCCACTGGCTAATAGTGGAGCTTTGAAAGAATTCATTGTCCACTGGATTAGATGAAAAATTAATCCTGTGTTAGGATAGAACACATGCTATAATGAAGACATGTGCATGCCACATTCTACTCAGAGAAAGGTTTAGGTAGGATCCATAGTAGGAGTGCTGAACTGGAGAAGGCATCCTGGAAGGAAAAAATTAAAAAGTCATTTAACAGTTTGTAAGATTTTTAGATCATGGATGCCATATTTGAATGGGATCTAAAAAGTTAATAATTTTGGATGAAACTAAAAGTATTTATAACTGTTCATAATTCCTTAAGGTAAACCAGTAGGACATAGAGGGGAAAATGTTGTTCTCCCAAATGGAATAGTGATTAACCTTCAAATATATCATGTAATTTTATCCTCATAACAGTTGTATAAGGTAATTTCTAGCCCTGCTTTGTAGATAAAAATCTGATAACATATGACAAATGTTCAACCAGGACTCTATTATTTAATCGCATGTGTGTACACACACACACACACACACACACACACACACCTATATTAAGAAATTTGTATTACTCTTAAAGATATAGAGGAATTGTCCCAAATATCTCTGTTGTGAAGAATGGTCCACATCCAAGTAGAATGAGTTATAGACTCTGGAGACTGAATGAGCTTCCCATATGCCCCCGCTCTATTCACTCCCCTCCTTACCCCAACCGCTTAATTCATAGGCAGCAATGATCATTATCAAGATTGTTGAAAATAACTACTTTGACTCAAAATTATTGGTATAGCTTCTGATGAGAAGGTGTGTCACTACGAAATGATCTATGGTCTCTGCTTGTCATGTACATTTAGATGAATACTTTAAGCCAGCCAGGTAAACATAAAATTGCCTAAAGCACGCATCACTCTAAATAGAAAAACTATCAACATTATTAATCTAGAATGAGAAACCGGGCCAGCTATATCTAAATGGCACATGGTTCTCACAGATCATGTGCACGCATTAACCAAAACAACCCTTAGTTATTAGGGTTCTCTATGACATATGAGAAAGTCAGTCTAGTAGTACTAACCTCATTACACAAGATGTCATTAGTAAGCAGAAGCTGAGGATGTAGTTCAGTGGTAGAATACTCGCCTGTATGTGAGGCCCTTGATTTGATCTCCATCACCTCAAAAAATAATTTAAAAGTAAGCAGTAGAACCAGAATCCACCTTTGAACAGGCAATGATACCAAAATTCAACTCCCACCTACACCTCTAGTTATATGGTGTTACCTCTCAATAAGATTAGCTGACCTGAGCCCAGGCATGGGATGGAAAGCAGGTAATTTCTACATACTGTATTGATATTGGAGGAAGCTGTATGATGTATTCAGACTCTTGCCATTCATTATTTGTTTTTCTGTCCTTCGAAATTGTGTTTATCTATATTAGATATAATTTTAATGATATTTCAGCTATGAAAGATTTACTACAGAAATGATAAATAATTGTAGATTCCTGATTCATATACAATAAAAATTTTCAAAACTGTTTCTTTGGAGAAATTTTTTCCAGACTTGAATTCTACTTTTATCATGAAAATGGTGTCATATGCATGTATAGAGTTGATAGAAAATTGAAGTTGAAGTTAATGCATGGGCAATGGGTTAGGGGAGTAGAGTAACTAATATTTATTATGCTCAATCATCATAGTAGCCCACTGAAATAAGAATTACCACCTGCAAGTTACAAATGAGACTCATTAAATTTAAGTAACTTATTCCCAGTCACATTTTAGAGCAAGGGCATAGTAGCACTGGGACTTGAACCTGTATTCACCCCCAACTGTATAATCTTTCCAACATAGCACACATTACCTCTCATTGGCCCACGACTGAGATTCATATTATGAAAAGTGATCTAGGTGGATAAAATGTGTTAACTCCTCAGTGCTTAAGAGTACAGGAACAATGAAGGTGGCCAATAACACTTAGCATTTATCAGTATAGAGTTGCAGAATTTCTAATGACAAGAGATAATAAGCAAGAGTTTTCTTTGTGCACATCTGCTTAGTGTTTTAAAAAATGTAACCCAGAGACTGATGTGAAGCTCAAATGTATTACATAAATAGTTGCCAATATACTGTACATCTGGTGAGGTTTTAACAGCTTCTGAGTTTAAAGTGCCAAATGTCTCTTCAGTTTTCCATACCCTAAAAGAGGTGGCCTTTAAAAAACTAGATAAAAGATGTTACCTAATTTTTTTTACATGTGGCCCAACCTAGAATTTTCTTTTCCAGATCGACTGAAGATTTCCCACAATGCAGACCATGTTTTGATTTATGTTAGCACCACATTACTCAGAAGCTAAAGCCACTGCCCTCTAGTTACCTGTAGTCTTCCACTAAAGAAAACCTTAAAAGAGTAACCTTGTGTGTTTCTGATTTTATATTACTGAAAATTTTGTTGTTTTTTCTATGAATATTAAAAGTGTTGTACTATCATTTTGATACCATGGCCTCAAACAAATTCAGTCTGAAATCTAGTGGTTAACTGTTTATTTTAAAATATTATCACTGCCCTTTCACATAATCCTTTAATTTTTTTGGCTTGGACCAGATAGTACATACCTATTAGCTTATGAAATACCATAAAGTGTAAAGAAATCTATTATAAAAGTTGAGCTTCAATTGTTCTAAATATAACCCACATTTTTCAAGTGTATCATGAAGGATGACAATCCAAAAATCCAAATAGCCTTAGTGTTTATCCAAAGATGATGTTAAATTTATTTTTACAATATGGAGCTTAACTTTATTGTAGCATGATGTGCTTCTCATGTTTCATTTGTGTTTGTGAATGTATTTGTCTGGACTTACTTGAAAGTTTTTATGTTAAATTGGCAAGAGCAGTTTATATACTAATTGAATGTGACATTTAGAGAAGCAGTCGAATGACATTACTAAGTTACACTGTTTTATAGTTTTTCCTATTATGTGATACAGATGTCATTATAGAAATAAACAGAAATAAACATTCTATACTGACTGCACAAAGATTTATAAGCCAGGAAGAGTCATAGTTAAAACAGAAAAGATCTGAAACCACCTCAAGAATTGATAAATTGGTAACATTTTTTTAATATGAAGGGCAATTTTGCAGGCCATTTTTATTTAGAATTAATAGAATAATGAATGAATTTGAATAATATTTCAATTGCATCTCGCCCACTAGATTTTGAGGTGACACTGTTGCATGTTTGCAGTTTTGTTCTCTGTGTAAGCATTGCATCTGTAATGGTGTCCAAAAATATTTGTAAGAAAGGAAAGCAGGATTTAGTTCATTATAATGGAATTAATCACTTGTTTGAATCCCATGACAAATTTATTTTGAAATCAGTATTCTAAATGTTACTATTTTATACAGCAATCCAAAATATGTTTGGAGAAACATTATTGAAATTTCTATTTTCCAGATGATAAAATTTGTTTTTATTTTAATGTTTTAATAGTTTGTTATTTCTAATTTTTCACTTGTTATTCCTAAATTTTCTTTTTAGTGAATTTTTAAGACACTTTCTTTTTAACACCCACGAACTGTGCATCCTAGCATTAGAGTACATTAAACGAATTATCATTAAATATAAGTATCCATATTTTGTAATTAAATAATGTGAAATAAGGTGCTTAAGTTATATGTGATATACACACAAATGCATATGCATTTGATTTAACACAAATGTTAAATCAACACATTTGTGTATGTGTTAAATCAACACTATTTCAATGATTTCATGATCTGAGTGTCATACTGTGACCAACCAAAAAATTAAGTAATGATTTAAGTCACATGAGCAACAAGCTACTAGTTGATAATTTTCCAAGTAAATAAGAATCATTTGTCCATGGACAGTGCAAATGGTTTTTCTTTGGGGTTAAGATTAATACGATTTATTTAATTTAGACTAACCCTAAAATAATGGGTAGAATTAAAAGAGACAGTGAAGAGAAATAGAACATTCCATGTGCAGTGAATAATTAAAAAAATAGAATGTGTGCATGGGGAACAGCAAACTGGTCTAGACAGATTACAGGGGTCATGCACAGTGTATACCAATTAGTGTGGGAAAGTAAGGTTAGAAAGTTTAGGAAACTCAAATATGAGAGTGTACTATTGCTCTTGTTTCTAACCACCTCTATTAGCATTTTCAGTATATATGACATGTAACTATAAAGAGATTTAATTTGGAAGCCAAGCACAAAAATTGGGGCTAATATTTGAAATTCATTAAGAATATTTTTAATAATAGCTTCCATATCTACAGCTTGAACCCAGGATGTATTTCAAGCCTAGAAATCCTGAATGTGGTATGCCATAGCTATGGTAGGGCTCCTAAAAGAAAAGAGTATATTGGTTAGAAGACCAAAAAACTAATAAAAACAAAATAACCAATCAAAAATAAACAAAGGAGTGAAAGGAACACCAGTAGAGAAGGAGAGTAGGGAGAGGAAGAAGGGGAAGGAAAGGGTAGGGCCACTAGAGACAGAAATGTAGCAAATCAAATTCCATGTATGTATTATTTTTTTTTCAAAATGAACCTATTTACCACGTATAACTATAATGTACTAGTAAAAGGAAGAAAAAGTACTTAAACATTCCCACCTAAAGACAAATAACTAACTTTATGGCATTGGACAAACTTCTTTGACCTTTTTAAGCCAGAGTTTACTGATTTATAACATGCCATCTTTTTGCTTTTAAGATAAATATTACAGGGGTTAATTGAGAAATTATTTCAATTTTTAGAACATAGCAATTATTTTATTTCTCTTTTTTAAAAATTCATTTATTCAAATTTGTTATACATGACAGCATAATGCATTTTAACTCATAGAACACATAATAGAGCACAATTTTTCATTTACACAGAGTCACACTATTCACGTCTTCATACATGTATTTAAGGTAACATTGTTCATCTCATTCCACCATCTTTCCTACCCTGAGGGGCCCCTCCCTTCCCCTTTCTCCCTTCTGCCCTATCAAAAGTTTCTCCACTTGTCCCATGCTACCCACTACCACCCTCATTATGGGTCAACATCCACATATCAGAGAAAACATTTGGCCTTTGCTTTTAGGGGATTGGCTTACTTCACTTAGCATGACATTCTCCAACTCCATCTGTTTACCTGCAAATGCCATCATTTTATTCTTTTTAATACTGAATAATATTACATTGTGTATATAAACCACAGTTTCTTTATCCATTCATCTATTGAAGGGCTTCTAGGTTGCTTCTACCATTTAGCTATTGAGAATTGAGCTGGTATAAACATTGATGTGGCTGTGTTACTATAGTATGCTGATTTTTAGTCCTTTGGGTATAGCCCGAGGAGTAGGATAGCTGGGTCAAATGGTGGTTCCATTCCAAGTTTTCCAGGGAGTCTCCATACTGCTTTCCAGATTGGTTGCACCAATTTACATTCTAGCAGCAATGTATGAGTGTGCTTTATTCCCCGCATTCTCGCTAACAATTATTGTTGTTCCTATTCTTGCTATCTACCATTCTGACTGGAGTGAGATGAAATCTTAGAGTAGTTTTGATTTGCATTTCGCCAATTACTAGAAATGTTGAACATTTTTTCATATATTTGTTGATCGATTGTATATTATCTTCTGAGAATTGTCTGTTCAGTTCCTTAGCTCATTTATTGATTGGGTTATTTGGAGGTTTTGTTGTTGTTGTTTTTTGGTTTGGGGGCGTTTTTTGGTGTTAAGTTTCAGTTTGTACTACTAGCATCTAATAAATGAGAGTTGCTATTCTCTTTCTTATTTCCTCCCTTATGAACTGACTTTGGAACTGAACATCTATTATCTTTTCGTTTTGTTCTGTTACTGGGAATTAAACCCAGAGTGCTTAACCACTAAGCAACATTCCCAGTCCTTTCTATATTTTACTTTGGTATAAGTTCTGGCTGAGACTAGCCTTGAACTTCTTCTTTTTTTTTTTTGTAGTGCTGGGGATTGAACCCAGGGCCTTGCGCATGCTAGACAAGCACTCTACCAACTAAGCTATAACCTCCGCCCCTGGCCTAAAATTTGTGATCCACCTGCCTCAGACTCCCAAGTCACTGGGATTATAGGCATGCCAATTTGCCCAGTTCTGTTGTCCTTTTGGACCCACTATTCTGATATTCATGTTCAATTTCCTTCAACAAGTCTTTCTTATATAATTTTTATCCTCAGAACTGATGTTAGATCTCTGTCACAATAACAATTTATGTGGTTCTACTTCTCAGAGTAAGTACTACCCATTATGACATGAATGAACATGAAGGAATTGAATGATCAAAGTTCTCACTAATGCAGATATAATTTAAAAAATGTAGGGTTTGTTTGTTTTATGTTTTCTTTTCCTTTTTGCCAAATATATTACTAGAAAGATCTAATAAATTAAGTTCAAAATCCTTTTCTATTTTTTGCTTTGACTCTCTTTAAATGATACGCATAGATTTAAAAAATCACTTTTATTCTTTTCCTATGGAGGAAAGATACTTAACTTGTATCTCATAGGTTTTACATAATTGCAGCATTATCTCTTTCTTGATAAGGGAATTTTTTCTGTTGCAATTTAAAATGTTTGTTATACTTGAAAAAGGCAATTAAATCAAGACAAATATTAAGTAACATTTGAATTCATGGATTATTTTTCCAAAACCATTCAGGTTCTAGTAGAAAAAAAAATCAGAGCAAATATTGCATAATAGACCAGTGATTTTTCCTTCTTCCGAGAGCTACTGCTGCCCCACTACTTTGATAGAGTGATGCCTTTGCATAGCTAAATTCCACTAAAATGCCCTGGTATCTTAGGAGAATCAAACCACTTTACCTTATAGAAGTAAAAAATAAATAAACAAGATATACTTCAAATAGTTTACAAAAGTATTTCTTAAGTTATGAAAATATTCTGAGTGCTCTCTCTCTCATGTGTGTGTGTTTGTGTGTGTGTGTGTGTTTTGCATAGGAAATACAGTTCTATGTGTAATGTAATGCCATCCTTCTTGTAAACACACAGGCTAATTGTTAAAAATATTATTTAATGCTATGAATTTTTCCATGTGAAGTTTGAACCAGATGAAATTTTTAAGAAACTAAATTTCTCTTCTTTAATGCTTAAATACTTACAGCCTTCCCACACTGGTTAGAGAAACTGAACGACACTCAATTAGACAGTGGGAGCCCTCTCCGATGGGAATGTAAAGCCACTGGAAAGCCTAGGCCCACATATCGGTGGCTGAAGAATGGAGTACCACTCTTACCTCAGGTACTGTTGGGAACTATTAGCCTGTTCCAGGGTAATTTTAGTGAAATTTCACACAGGACATAAATAGGCTTCTTTAGTCTTACTTAAAATCATTTCTTACTCCTATCTTCAAATGTGTTTAGAGTGAGAAATATAACAAATATATGAGCAAGATTTTCTTTTTTAATTACCTAATTACATTTTTAAGCAGTGTATTACATAATTTTTTCTAGATCCCATAAATTTTTTGGAAAATATCACTGTTCATCACAGACTTATTGCCATTTCTAGATGACTCTTAGATACCATCTGTTGTGTGCCATCACATTGCAAATGATGGAGTTAGTCTCTTAATGTGAAGTGACTTGCCCAGGATCCCACATCTAATAGGAGAGGAGCTTGCAGTGGAATATTAGTCTCTTGCATCATTGGTGGGGTTCGTCCTGTGGCACTCTACTACCCACAGTCACAATAAATGTCTTTTCAGTAAATACATTACATATTTTTTAAAACAACTTGGTAAGTACTAGATTTAAATTAATTACTACTTCATTGCAGAATGATGGTAATAATTTTGATAACTTTATTCCTTGATTGTACCCTTTGCAGGAGGGAGAACAGAGAAGCAATAGATCACTATTTATGACCAAAATGGAAGTAAGAGTGTGAAGTTGAGACTCTGGATACCAGTCCTGCCCAGGACTTGCACTATCATAGGGACTCTTGTTCGTCATTTACCTCAGTCTGTTCATTTTTAACATACAGAGATTGGATCAGATCATTCCCAGTTTCATTTTTTCCTAACATTTCCTTCTAAAGCTAATTAAGACAGGACAAAATGGAACTGTACAAAAAAACAGATAAATAAATAAATATGTAGTGCTGCAAAATAAAACTTAAAGTCTCTTTATACTTTTCCTAAGAATACACACCCCTTGAAAAAAAAGGCTATGCTGGTCATATTTTTTTTCTATTTCTTTTACTTATTTATTTTTGTGTGCATATGTGGCACTGAGGATGGAATTCAGAGCCTCATGTTAGAGCAAGTGTTCTAACACTGAGCTACTTCCCCAAACCCATTTTAATTTTTATTTTGAGGCAGAGTCTCACTAGATTGTCCAGGCTGCCCTTTAACTTGCAATCTTTCTGCCTTGGCCACCTTAGTAGCTGGAATTACAGACTTCTACCATCATGCCCAATTTGCTGGTTATACTTTCTGTTCCAAGCCTTCAAGTAACATTAATTCTACTGACAGATAATATGTTTGCTAAGTGAATGGGTCTATTTTGAAAATCTTGTCAAATTACTTGTCATTCCATTGATGAATCTCTGCTAAGATTAAAAAAAGTAATTATTTGCTTGGCATTAAATAGAAAATGGAGGGGGGGGTTATTTAATACTTTTAATTCAAGATTGGTTTTTGAAATGTACCCTTGGCCTCAATTTGCCTTACTTTATACATTCTCAGTCTTCTTTCTTCTGTATTCTGATGATGAAGCTTATATTTTTTGACCTGTCATTTTTTGCAGAACCCAGTAGCAGTGCGGTTTTCTATTCGTGTTAGTTTGTTGAAAAGTGAGAGAAAAGGCAAATTCCTGGTCAGATCAATAGAATGAAAGGCTTGTTCTTTTATCTGAGCTCTTGTTAACCTTGATCCCATGTCCACCACCTCCATCCTCTCCATCACTGAACCTCTGCTTCCTCTTTACAAAAGGAATTCCAATTAAAGTATCATCTGCTGCTGTCTTTAACAAGTTCAAGTCTGCAGAAAAGTCAGCTCAGATTAAAAACAAAACTGAAAGTAAAACTCCTAAAACAAACTATAGGAAAATATAGTTATACTTCCCTTAATGACTAAGAAGTAGTTACAATGTAACAAGAGACATAATAAACAATAAATTTATGTTACTTAGTTGTGAAGTAGTGTTTAACTTCATTAATTAGAGGTTTTTTCATTGGTTGTTTACTTTCTAGATGTAATTTTTTTATTCCATTACAGAGTAGGGTTGACATGGTTAATGGAGTATTGATGATCCGCAACGTGAATCAATCAGATGCTGGGATGTATCAGTGTTTGGCTGAAAATAAGTATGGAGCCATTTATGCAAGTGCTGAACTGAAGATTCTAGGTATGAAATTTCTAAGTAAATCAGTAGAAAAGAAGGATTGCTTCTTTTCATACTCTAATTCTTACTGTAAAGAAGTTTTATGATGTGGTTCTAAAAATCTATTTTATGGCTTAAAAAGAAGCCATATATATCTTGTTGATATTTTCTGTAAGCCTTAGAAAACAGGTTTATATTGTCTACAGTTTGTAACCATAGCTTTTTGTTTATTGGGCTATTCTATTTAGTTGAACTCTTAAATGGTTTATACAATATATCTTTGCTGTGGCATTTTTAAAAATCATATAATGGAACATATGATAACTCAAGGAAAAATGCCTTGAGAGTATAGGGTATCTGAATATGGAATTCTAGCATACAACCCCTGCTTCCATAGAAGGTTAATATTTCCCTAACCACTTCCTAACTACCACTAATTGTGCCTCCTACAAGACAGGACTCCAGGATAAATCATCCTCTTCTAATGGGACATAAGTTGTCATAATTCTTAATAAGTGAGAAAGCCTCTGGAGGTCAGGCAAGGCAGACTCAGAGGCTATTCCTTTCATAAGAATGAAAACTGAAAAAAAAAAAAAAAGAATGGAAACTGGGCACTAGCAACAGATTGACTATTTAAATATTATAGGAAAGAGTGAATATAGTGAAAGAGTCTATCCAGAATAAGCATATTTTGAACACTGAAATTAATTTACTTTTTCCCATCTGATAGTTTCCTAAACTTTGATTATGAGATGGGTGTAATACAAAGAGATATACTTTTGTGATCTTAATTCACTGTCTACCCCAAATGGGGGGAAGACAGAGCATACTTTCTATTCCCCACTTAAATTCCCAAAATATTACATTTACATAACACCCAAAATCTCAGAAACCTGGAGAACTAGCATTTACAAATATAAGCCAAATATAATTCATCATTAATCAACTTATTGAATTATGAGTATTTGCAGTTGAATTTCTGCACATTACAAAAAAATCTATAGTGAATAGAAACAGTAGTCTGTTTAAATTTCCTACATCTTGTATAGTAAATATTAATGTATTGTCAATTCATACTCTATAACATCTCAGAATGAAACAATTGAGTCTTTAGTTCTTTACCTATATACATTCTCTAACCCTTGTTATTCACTAGACATATTTTTCAAAATTACCTTTAATAAATTCTGAATTCCCTGTACGCAATGAAAAATGTTAACTGCTATCTCTTCATAGTTTTTTTTCACTTTTATTTCAGTCTCTCAACATATCTCAATTGTATACATGTAACATTTTAATGTCATTATGCCATTTGTTATTTTGCTATATTATGAACATAAAATTCTTCTGAAATATACACAGAATTGTCCAATTGGTATAAGTAATTGTCTCAGATACTGTAGACTTCCAGGCATATCTTTCAGAGATAAAAGCATCTTGATAAAAATCCAGTAAAAGTAATATTAATGAATGATCATGCATAGATGAATAATTGCAAAAAAATAAATAAATATTTTAATTAAAATTCAGGTAATTCAATTTCCTAAAAGCTTTGTTTCTTTTAAAACATTCAATTTTGTATAATATTGAAGTAAAATACAGATTAAATTAAGACTCAGAGTAAGGAGATGGAAGACACAGTATTGTCTTCTCCACAGGTAACAACTGTCTTTCCAAAGAAAGCTTAAACTTCCTTAGTTGTCCGCCTGACTTTCTGCACACATTGGCCATCAGTCTTTCAAACTGAAGCTGGTAATCATATTTAAAGCAAGTCATTTTTTTAAACAGCCTTTATCTGTGGATCTCACAACAAATGAAACCAACATCTGCTATTTGAAAAATAAATATCTATTAATTAATAATAAATTTAAAATTTTGCTAATGCCTTTATGAAAAATGTATCCTAGAGGAAAATGTCAAAATATCTAGATGAATCATCAATTAAATATAATTATCATTGCTTTGGGTAAAACTAACCTTTCCATTCTAATAGCTTCAGCTCCCACCTTTGCACTGAATCAAGTGAAGAAAACAATAATTATCACCAAAGACCGAGAAGTGATAATAGAGTGCAAACCTGAAGGCTCTCCCAAGCCCACCATCTCTTGGAAGAAGGGAGATAAAGCAGTAAGAGAAAACAAAAGGTAAGAAATCTCTTCTATTTTAATAGCTTAACGTCAGACATTTTTGAGGTTGCAGAGGACAATGTGAAGTGTATAAGAGAGTCTTACGGATGTTGTGAGATATTTCATAAACTAACCGAAATGTATGTGGTTTGTCTATTTAGTGATTTTTAAAAGAAAATCAAAGTTCTGCCTCAGTATGGTCAGATTTCTTTGCCTCTTTGCGGTTTATCATCAGTTCAGAATTTCTCTAGGTAGTGAAGAAAGCAAACACTTTCATTAAGCAAGTTATCTTTGCTTTTCATTTTGGGTCTGCGTATTTAGAGATCCACAAATTACATGATCATTTTCAAGGGTTGTGTTTTTCTTCAATGATAATAATAGAAATAATGAAAACATATTCTGGATCTTCTGGATGATGACTTTATGATAGAATTTGTGTCATGTGATTTCTGTGCCAATGATGCCTTTTTGTTTTTAATCATGTTGATGCAAAAAGAACAAAAACTGGATTACTTTGATTGCCACAGCTAAATTTAAAATGTGCAGAAGAATTTTTAACATGTAAACATTTGTCTTTGACAAATTTTGGTAAAAGCCAAACTATCACAATACAAATGGAGAAAATTGAAGAGATAATTAAATCATTACATTGCAACCTATATATGCCAATATTATTATATTGATATTGATATGCCAATATTATTATATTGATATTACCAATGAAATTGAAATAATTGAGATTGATAAAAATAACTTCCATCATATAAAAATAATATTCTGTATTACTGCTTTAGAGGGTTTTCTCTCTTTTTTCATTTTGGTCTATAAGAAAGAAGGAATTTGACTTGTTTTATTTCTGTACAGAGGTAAGTAAAATTATAGTTAAATAATTTAAGTCAATATTAGAGGTTCATTTGAATAATTCTTTAATTAATTTTTGGACTATTTTGAAAAATTTAGAGAACTTACACAGTTCAATCTGAATGTAGAGCTAAATGAACTGTAACTCTAAACTATTAAATACAATGTTATAACATCCAAGCATCATAGACAATCATTTGCGTTATCAGCAAAATACCAAATAATCAACAAAAAATTCCATTATCAGTAAAATATCAAATAATCAAAGGTTTACCTTTCTCTGCCATATTCTGACAGAATCTTCTGAGTTTTGTTTTGTTTCTATTGGGAGGAGGCCTTAAAAACACAGCTCTTTTCTTATTTGTCTGTTTTGCTAAGGAAATAGAGAAATCATTATGCTGAAGCCAAATTTTTGATAAGAAATAACTTAAACCATATGATTTTTAGAAGAAATGTAATTTGCACATACATTGCCTGCTTATATATTATAAAATGTTCCATTAATTTGGCTCTCATTGATATATTTAAAATGTGAAAGACAACAGATTATATCAGAGCTCATAAGTTTTTTTATAGCTGGTAGTTGATTATATCATGGAAGGTGTCACAGGTTGATCAATATGAACTGCTCCTTAGATATTCAGTCACATTATTACTAGTGATGATGACTGATTGTAAGTCTATAGCATTTATAATTTGCAAAACATTTTAACACTTAATAATATGATGCAAAATGTAAAACAGAACTCAGTTGTCCTGCTAACCCTTCAAATTATGAGGTTTTAACAACTTACCTACTTTTTCCCTTATAAAATTGAAACTTAAAAGAATAACTCCCGTGGGTTGTCAGAATTGAATGAAATTTTATGGGAAAATTACATAGGCTGGTTGATAGCATCTATTAAACCCTCAGTAAATGTTACTTGAGATTATTGATGGTGGTAATGGTGGAGGTGGTGGTAATAATGACAGTACCATTTGAACCTTTGAACCTTTCAGTCCTAGCATCATTTTCTATTATCATTAGTATGATAATTTTTATAATTCCGTTTTTCTTTCTGTGGTAATTAAGGGAAACTATACTTAAGGAATTTTCTGGGACTAAAGGAGTCTTTTGGATAATCTTTGTGATGGATTTCTTCATCAAACTGTTCCCAAATAACCATTCTTGGTCCACAAGAGCCACAAATCTCCACTTTTATCATCTATTGTGGACATTGCCACTCTCATCATTTACCTAGCTCAGTGTCTTTGGGAAAGGTTCCTCTACTTACAGGCTGAATATTTGCTTCTTCATCATCAGCTTCACAGATGATGTACAGACATATGACCGTACACGAGGGGTTCATGGAAACAGAGATAAAGCCTTTTGAAAACAGTTCCTCTTTTTACGCATCTTCTTTAATTGTCCTACAGGTTTTGCCCATCGTTCTTAAAGATCACCAGCGCTCATTTACTTAGGTTCCTTTATCCATCATCTCCATTTTAATACTAAAACTAATAAACTTCAGCAGCCATAGCAAGTAAAACATTTCACAGGGATTTTCTCCTTAGTATACTTCCATTCAGAATGTTCTACTCATCAAACTCATATTGGATTTTCACTTCAGCTCATTATTTCCATTACTTGGCCATTAACTTTTGTTAAAATATAATCATCAAGAAGCACTCCAGCAGTGCACACATATTAAGTTTCCATTATTGCTTGTTCAATTTCTGTCTTTTTTGTGTACAAATAAAATCTTCACTAAGACAAACAATTTATAGTTTTGGGTAAGAGTACAGTTTATTTTGTTTCCTTTCCATTGGTACATACATAAACTGTGATTGAACCTCATAGAATATGCCACCCGTGGTTAAAAATTATTCACAATTATTAAAATTTAAAGTGATTCAAGCACCCGTTTTCATTCTAGGCAGAGGACAGTACCAATTATAGAGATACTAGAACATAATTCAAATGGGTGCTTAGGAAATCTTGAGTCCAAAATAATAGCAATTATTCTATAAAGGAGCAGTATTATAGAATAATTTTTCTTTTATGGGACTACAATTTAAGCAAAGTATTGTCCAAAATTCCGTGTAATATTCTCTGCCCACCAAAGGAGGTTCAGAATGGCAAACTATTCAACCTACTCATTTAACACGCATAGAAAATTGTGCTTGAAGTACCCATTAGTTGACTTCTAGTGGGAATTCATGTTGTGTTATTAGGCAGCAATGATCAAGCTCACATACTGACTCACAGACATATGGGGAAATATATTCTTCATAAAAGCCCTACAGGACATTGTTACTGAGGGGAAGCATGGTCTTCTGAATCTTTCTCAGGAAGAAGAGAAATTCATGGGTATAATTAGGGTCTTGTTTCTGTCCCTTTGTTTCTACCTACATGCTGTGTTTGCTAATGAACAAGCTGTTTTGTTGTTTCCTCAGTGACAATGTCTTTTACATATTAAGAACATAAAGCAATGTAGACCGTAGGTATCTCAGATTTTTTTCAGTGTCTCAGAAGTTGTTTAATGAGGGAAAATGAGCATATATGTAGTAAAAATATATCATTTAACTTCCTTTGTGAATTAAAACCTATGTCTTCAAAGGAAATAAAATGATCAAAATGACATTTAAGAGGAAAGGCTGACATAGGACTTCATGTGACTGAATACTCCTTAACTGCTTACAGTCTGCAATGTGTTAGCTCTCAGAGATGGCCTCTTGTTCCGTAGGTCTGATGAGCTGAAGGGGATGATAAGGAAATTACCTTGTGTTCATTATTGTGGGGTTGAGATGCTATTTCCTGATTTCAACTAAAACTAACTGTGCACAACTACCTTCTTCAGTTTCCCTTTCAACTGCTAGTAAAACACACACATACACACACACACACAAAAAAAAAATACAAAATCACAGCAGCATTGGAAATCAAGACTATGGATGAATGCTAGAACCATAGGAGGAATAAATCACTGCTTTGAGAAAAAATAGGCTAAACTAAGAAATGATCAATTGCTGGTTGAAGCCTAGACCTCTGAAACTACAGTAAATTCATAAGAAACCAGAAGGGGGTATCTTCCACAAATGTCTACTTTATACCCACATCTACTAAATCCAGAAATTTGTCCTCATTTACTCCAAAGGCTGCCTGGGACATTCCTACCACAGCAAGGCCATTTTTTTTCTAAGACACCAAAAAATGTTAGTTTTCTTATTTTAGCCATCTGTACTGATCTAAAACAGTTTTGGAGATTAGAAATCTAGCAATTTGAAGTGATTAATAAATAATAATGTTGATGAATAATAATGCAGAAGAATTATATTGAAATTTGTGGAGTGTGGGAGTTATGTAATTGCATGTATTTCTTTTAGCACAAGAAGGCAGACACTGTTTAAGTATTCTAGGAGAATTACTTTACATTTATATACTTATAAGGATGAGAGGATAGAACTGGTGAACACCTCACTAGAGTTGGGCTGCTCTAGGGCCTTGGTAGAATATGCACAGCAGAGTATGGGGTGGTGTACCTGACTGATTTCAAAATACATAATTGAGGGTGAGATTCTGGAAAATGAGAGAAATAGCAAAAAGAGACAAGCCTGAGACAGTTTAAAGCACAAATACACATTAAGCATAAAATCTAAATTATATTCATAAATATGGTAAAAAGACTGTACCAAGCAAATATAAAAAGTAATCACCATAATAGATACAGTAAAATGTATAATTTTTACATATGTGTATATACTAGGTAAATTAATAAATATTAAGGATTACAAAGCAAAAGGTTAAAAATATTCTAAGTCATGACAATGTGTGCATAGTTCATGAAGGAAAAGTCAAAGTACACAAAAAATATGCACACACATACATGTATATGTGTGTGTGTGTGTGTATATATATATATATATATATATATACACATATATACATACATACATACAATACACATACACACATACATATCCATATGAAACACTGAAACACTGTTTTGTTTTGTTTTGTTTTGTTTCCAGTAGTGGAAATTGAACTGAGGGGCACATTACTACTGATCTATGTCCTAGCCCTTCTTATTTTATTTTGGGACATGTTCTCACTAAGTTGCTCAGGCTTGCCTTGAACTTCTGATCCTACTGGCTCAACCTCTTGAACTGTTCTGTGC